CAACGGCAGGAGAAATGGCTTGAAGGAGATGAGATGGAATAGGATCAAGCAGACAAGTTTTAGGATGATTGGAAAGGATGAGTTTAGAGACTTCTGCCTCAGAGAGTGGAGAGAAGGATGAAAACGAGTGTATATTTGCTGGTAAGATGTGTTTGACAGTTTGTGGTGTGGCAAATTGTGCACTGAGGTTGCATGCATTGAAAACATGCGTTGTATGCATTGAAAGTGAAACCTAAAAAAAACAGCATGCATAAGAAAGCGATTGCAGGCTTTCGCTAGCTTCAGCAAATGCACTCGATCACAGATTGCACGCTTCCCAGCCGAAACAAACCCCCACGTGAAATTGAAATAATAAGCTATGAATCATGTGAATGACCCTAAGGACAAAGAACTGTATAAATAAATAAATGTGAAAATAAATAAATGTAAAAATAAATAAATGTATAAATAAATAAATGTGGAAATAAATAAATAAATACGTAAATAAATGCAGAAATGTGAAAATAAATAAATGTGGAAAAAAATACATAAGAAAAAAATTATTATTTATTTTTGCTTTTTTACTTTTCTTTATATTTTTATTTATATATGTATTTATTTATATTTGCTTTTTTACATTTCTTTGTACATTTATCTATTTATAAGTATGGCAGGGTTGGCATTCCATAGACTCCCTGTTGACTTCCTCTAGGAACCAAAGCTTCCCCCTTGACCACCAATTTCACAGTCAACACATATGGCTTTTTAGCTAGGGTTAAAGGGAAACAGCACTTTTAGATAAGCAAGGCACTCATGGAGGTAGGCAAAAAAAGTTCTTTATGAACTGCATGATTGCTTGTAATAAAGATTTCAATGCAAAAGGAAAGGCAGTAGAGCTGACTACTTCTGTCAATGGTAAGATTGTGATAACGTAAGAAAAGTAGTTTAAATGTTTTGCTACTTGCTTGAGCAACTTAATATATAAATCTAGAAGTAAATGCAAAAGTAAAAAGCATTGAATAATGTGTTGCTTATATTTATTGTGTTTAAACATGTCTGTGAAAGATTGTATTACTGTACTGTGTAAAAAAAGAATTGCAATGCTGAAAAAGCATTTTCAGTGACAATGTTTGGATTTGAAATCAAAATAATGGATAAATGTTGTGTTTGTGGTAAACAGCCACGGATCAGTAGCGGACTCCTGTGTGAAAGCTGCTTCCCCTCTCACAAGAGTCACCTAAGAGGGGAATTCCCATTTTCAAAAATGAAATTCAGGCCTGAATAAATGTCTTAAAATCCTGATTGGAGTATCACTATAAATAGTTATAAATTATAAAAAGGCGGCTTTAAAAAGATCGGTATCGGTGATCGGTATCGGCAGATACTGCTTTCTGTGATCGGTGATCGGCCTCAAAAATCCTGATCGGAGCACCCCTATAAAGCACAATAACCTCAACCCTTACTATGGGTTTACCTCAGTAACCTTAGTTTTACTTTGGTAGTTGTAGTTAAAGCACAATAACTTCAATATTTACTATGGGTTTACCTCAGTAACCGTAGTTTTACTGTGGTATTTGTAGTTAAAGCACAATAACCTCAATCCGTACTATGGGTTTACCTCAGTAACCGTAGTTTTACTGTGGTATTTGTAGTTAAAGCACAATAACCTCAATCCTTACTATGGGTTTACCTCGTAACCGTAGTTTTACTGTGGTATTTGTAGATAAAGCACAGTAACAAAACTTACAACAACACATACCATGTTTTTACCACAGTAACGGTTTTTACTGTATACTATTTTTAAAACACAGTAACCACAATGTTTGCCATGTCTTTAATAACTTTTTGTGAAGTAATTGTAATTCAGTCTTTATTTTTTTTCTGTCTTGCAGTTAAGTCAGATCACATACTCCAGCAGCTCTTTAAATCTCTCTCTCTCTCTCTCAGCTTTTCCTTTCCTATTTTTCCAAACTGTAATCCATAATTCATTTACACATAGTAGCCTCTGTTTCTGTGGTTCATCATGGCATGTTTTTAAAACTTAGAATCAAATTTTGACCAATTCTTTCAGAAAGCTGCTAGAATTAACGAGATGGTCCTCACTGCAGAACACAAGATCCAGGGGGCGTGGTTGGATCCAGATCCAACTCCTCCCACCTTACATATACCTAAACCTACCCGGCTCCACCCCATGATCCCTAAACCCACCCATCTCCACCCCTACACCTACCCATCTCCACCCCTAAACCTACCATCTCCACCCGCTAGATGTGGATCCAACCCCGCCCCCTGGATCTTTGTTCTGCAGTGAGCGGCTACTGGAATTAACAGGGAACTTGAACTCGAAGCTCCCAATGCTGATCTTGAAGAAGCTGCCAAGGAGGCTGAACACGTCCTTCAAAGGTTCAACCCTTCATAGGTTTTGTTGAACACTTTTAGTAATAACTGATTTGCTTTAATGAACACATCCTTATATTATGTGTTGATCATATCTTTTCTTATAGTCCTTCCTCTCAAATATTTTGGTCACAGAAAATGTATAACACTGTCTTAACATGTATATATTTCTCTTTGTTTCAGCTGAAAGGGAAGACCAAAGGAAGGCCTGTCATGGGATTTGAATTTGGCCATACTGTGCGTTTACGGTGAAGACCAAAAGCTGCAAAGGAAAACACTTCCAATGGTACTTCTGTGTTGGTCTGAGCATCTTGACTGAACTGTACTGCAGTTACATTTGCACAGCATTTGATGCTTCTTTAACTTTAGTTTACATAGCCCATCAGGAAAAACACTCAACAAAGTAATAACTGATTTGCTTTAATGAACACATCCTTATATTATGTGTTGATCATATCTTTTCTTATAGTCCTTCCTCTCAAATATTTTGGTCACAGAAAATGTATAACACTGTCTTAACATGTATATATTTCTCTTTGTTTCAGCTGAAAGGGAAGACCAAAGGAAGGCCTGTCATGGGATTTGAATTTCTTGTGCGTTTATGGAGAAGACCAAAAGCTGCAAAGTCAAACACTTCCAATGGTACGTCTGTGTTGGTCTGAGCACCTTGACTGAACTTTACTGCAGTTACATTTGCACAGCATTTGATGTTTCTTTAACATTGATTTACGTAGCCCATCAGGAAGAACACTCAACAAAGTGTCATGTAGAAGTAGTAATAATTCATACAATTTACCAAGTCAATATGAATATGATATTGTACAAGCGTACTCATACAAAATTCTACGACTTTTACTCCTGCTCTCATTGGCCATTGCCTCAACCCTGCGAGAGTTGCCAGGTAACTTTAGCTTGAAGTTTACTATTATAACTGCTTAATTTATGATTAAACAACAGTAATAATTAAGCATGGGGTCAATAGATATTTTCTTGTTTTACAGCTGAAGACCAAAAACACAAAGAAAATCAGTCACAGCTAGCCGGTCAAACCAGTCCTGATGAATGAGGAATGAACATGGCCTTCTTGTGCCCAAACAGAAAGACAGAGAGCTGAAAAGTTGCACATTTCCACTGGTATGTCTGTATTCAAGCAATGCAGTAATGTGTGGTACAGCATTGATGTTAATCTCTCAAAAGACAGCATAGTTACTTCAAGTCAGCAGTTATAATTTTTCACATATACATTGTTTATAGCTCCTAGAATGAGCAAATCAGCTGTGCCATCATCTTTGGAATTTGGGCAGGAAATGACTGAATATGGTGAGTACTGACTCCTGCACCTGTATTCACCAACACGATTTCTCTAGAGTTAATGTTGACTTATTGTTTTGTCTGTTTGTTTAAAGGAAGATGAAGCCAGTTGATGAAGATATCAATTCAGTGGCCACCAAGGGCTGCACTGCTGCCTGAACCCATCAGTTATCTGCTGTGAAGACTGCATTCGCAAACAGCTCTACTGTGACAGCTCAGATGTTACAGCCCATAAAAGTAAACTTCACAACTGAACAACTGCAAGATAGTTGTGGAGGGATTCTTTTGGCCCATACCTCCAACAACCTCCCAACAAGAATCAATGGTAAGTCCAATGCAATAATTATAAATAAAAATACTATATATTGTTTATTAATTTACCACACCCTAAATACATGTTTTGTCCCTCCAGGACATCTACACCAGGTGATGTGTGAGGAAAGCACAGAGGACCGTAAGAGACTCCAACCACCCGAGCCATGGATTGCTCTCACCGTAGCCATCAGGCAGATGTTATCACAGAACCTTCACCAGCAGACTGAGAGACAAGTTCTTTCCACAGGCAATCAGACTGAACTGAACTCGTACCAGTAACAGCACACCAACCTCATATGCCCTGCACTCTATCACTTACACTGACTGGACTCATTGTTATTCTGCACCCTGACATTCTGTTTGCACTCATTCATACCGTATAACATTGCAAATGTAAAGGTGTACTGTGGTTAATGTGTTTATTATTGTTTTCATTTCACGCTCTCTGTATAGTATAATATTTACCATATATTGTTCTCTATCTGTATTGAGTTCTTTATATGTGTGTTTTGCATATATATTCAATACTTTTCATCCATAATGTCATGCTGCAGTTTGCACAAAATACTTTCACCACCTGTACACTTGCATTCATGGTATTGTGACAATAAAATGATTTGATTTGAATTGGTCACATGTCTTTTGTTTGTCAGTTGTACTGTAGGGTGCTGGATAACAACTGCAAATTGTTTAAGTCATGGAAGAAGAAGAATATGATAGGGACATGGACAAGCAAGCAAGAGGAAGAAAACCAGGAGAGCTCTGATGATGAGAAGGGAACTGGACGTGATTCTTTGGTGCTCGAGACATTTCACCATACATGCATTCGGGTGGCTTCAACTGATTAAAATAACATGGTTTTAACATAACCCATTTTTATTTTTCTTGAATATGATTTTTCTTTATATGCTACTTTAGCTGTGTTTATGATGTATCCTCCAGTAACATGGTGTTGGAAAATAAATTATGGTGAATATTCTGTATTAGGGATGGTGTTTGGTAAATACACCATTTAATTTTGTAAACAATACACACAGTTACCGTTAGTGTTTTAATTAAGACATGAACATTTGGTCATATTAAAGACATTCAGTTACATAAAGGTTGAAAGCTGCATTAAAAGAGACTGCATGGACTATATTGCTCCAGGCACTACATGCACAACTGAGGGTGATGCACCAGGGAAAGACCAACATGAATCCTGTACTGTGTTATAAGCGAGATGAGCATGGACATTACTGATGTTTAGCACCTGAAGATGACAAAGATTAGACATTTTTGACACAGAGATATAAATTTAGGTCTTTTATATTATGATTATTTGCACTGCATGAATTGTGTGGCTTTTGCACCATAAACCACACACTGTCTGCACCTTGTCTTACTGAATGACACATTGACTTTGTGTGATAGTACAATGAAGTGTCACAATATGTATTGGATGTTTAAATTGGTGTCGTTTACTGTCAACACTGTATTCTTGCTCCTGATCTAATGAAATATATGGAGCCCATTCCAAAAAGGCACTGATCTAGATTTTTTTTTGGATCTATTCTTTTTCTAAGATAACTATGACTTGCAACTTACATATTAACGAGTTGTTGTCAGCAATGTGACTCAGCACAGTTTGTTGTGAATGATGAGAATAGATCTGTGTATGTTTTACTGCCCTTCCATCCCCAGGGGCCCAGTAGAGTCCCCTGGAAGAGCAAAAAAAAAAAGGCTGTAAATCAAAGTCTGGTTATAGTATAGAGAAATTTGGTAGGACAACTACTTATGCTATGTTAATTACATAATGTTGTACAGAGTTTTCAAACATATATGGAAAGGTGCTATAAAGGTGTTTAAAAAAGTGCTCTTAGTAAAATACCAAATTTCAGCCGGCCTCTTACATATGTCATAGATGTTTGCTCAATGAACATGTTTAGATATACCTTTATTAAAAAAAGGTTGTATTTTTTACCATTTTATTATTAAACATTTTAAACTATATTTACCCATAAGCTTCTGCCATTCTAACGATAGAACGCAGTGCTGGTATTTGTAGTTTAATGAAGTTATGCTCAGGGTTAGGGTTACGATCTCGGGAAAGTGGTAATTTCTCACGACATAGCAACACTGCATTGTTAACTGATGTAATAATAACAGCAAAGCGTACTTTGCAACATTAAGCGTTTTTTAATTTGGGTTAAAAGATAGTCCAATCACAGCGAGGTCTGTGAGTGCCAAGAGAACTTCAAAGCCAATGGCAACCGAGTTGAGCAGAGGCATCACACTTACTTGTCCATATATGGTCATCTATGACAGGATCTTCCAGGTTCTTGTGGTGAATGGACAGATAATCAGTTAAAGATTTATTTGTCTCCACATAGTATAAAACTGCAACAATTGATTGCATCGTGTGGTTAACCTGATGCAGCAATAGATTTGTTGATTACAGTGTTTTTTTTTGTTTTTTTCAAACAAGGGCGTAATGGTTCCCATCATATACATGGTTTACACTTATATTAATGTACAATATTTAAACTCAAAAGTGTGTATATACTATGTGAAAAATAAATAATAAATGTCAAAATCTTTCATTTGCTTACAAAATAAAAACACCTATGATAATTATTCAAACATGCAATATTTTTCTACTACTCAATTTTGCTTCTGTAACATTTACAGTGTATTTACAGTGTATTAAAAGTATACAATTAATCACTTTTATGTTTCCTGGAAATGGGCCCTACAAACTTGCCATTATTAGCTCTGCCAGTTGAACTACAGGAACATAAAAAATAAAAATAAAACATTAAAAAAAAACTTACAAATTTCCCAAAATGTCAGACTTTTCCAATACAAACATAGTGCCCAGAACAGCACTCTCTCTCTTTAGTTTGTCGTAATTAATGGGTACATGGAAACAAATATGTAACTAAGAAATATGCAATATAAAACCCCTTTAAAAAACATTGTCTAATATTCAAAAATAAAAAGAGAATGCCATGTCATGAGATGCCAAATAATATTTTACAAACCAGGAGTTTCGAGGCTCCAGAAGAAAATATATTATTTACCTCTTTAACAATCAAATAGGCAAAAAATGATTAAGAACAATATTTCAATATTTTACGATTATTATTCTGTAATCATTGTTTGCTTCTATTGTGACTAAATGCATGACCAATTAAAATGGTTAACAATTATAATTTTAGACAATTATCATTTTATTAAGAATATATCTATATATATACACTGAACAAAATTATAAACGCAACACTTTTTTTTGTTTTTGCCCCCATTTTTCATGAGCTGAACTAAAAGATCTAAGACTTTTTCTATGTACACAAAAGGCCTATTTCTCTCAAATATTGTTCACAAATCTGTCTAAATCTGTGTTAGTGAGCACTTCTCCTTTGCCGAGATAATCCATCCACCTCACAGGTGTGGCATATCAAGATGCTGATTAGACAGCATGATTATTGCACAGGTGTGCCTTAGGCTGGCCACAATAAAAGGCCACTCTAAAATGGGCCGTTTTATCACACAGCACAATGCCACAGATGTCACAAGTTTTGAGGGAGCGTGCAATTGGCATGCTGACTGCAGGAATGTCCACCAGAGTGTGAACAATATTTGAGAGAAATAGGCCTTTTGTGTACATAGAAAAAGTCTTAGATCTTTGAGTTCAGCTCATGAAAAATGGGGGCAAAAACAAAAGCGTTGCGTTTATAATTTTGTTCAGTGTATAAAGTAGACATGCTAAGACTGGAAGTTGGCAGTAAAGGACTGAGAGCAGAAGTGCCACACAAGAGAGAGAGAGATGTGGAAGCTTTTGGAAGGGCTGATATTGTGGAGAGCTGATGGAGAAGGACTTAGTAATCTGTGAGAAATCGTCTCAGGTTATGTATGTATCCATGGTTCCTCGAGGGAGCGAGACGCTGCATCGGAAAATGCTTCGGGAAGGCCTTCTGTGACCACGCTCTGAATCACATGTGAAATCAGTCCAATAGCTGAGCGGGACGTCACGGGCGGGTGACGT